TGTATGTATGTATGTATGTATGTTATGTATGTATGTATGTATGTATGTATGTATGTATGTAATGCATGTATGTATGTATGTACGTAATGTATGCATGCATGTATGTATGTATGTATGTACGTACGTATGTATGTATGTATGTATGTATGTTGCGTGAATGTATGTATGTATGTAGTGTACTGTGATGTTATGTGATGTGATGTGATGTGATGCAATACAATGCAAAGCAATGCAATGCAATGTATGTATGTATGTATGTATGTATTTATGTACGTATGTATGTATGTATTTATGTATGTCATGTGTGGCAGTGTATGCAGCAATTTTTTTAATGTATGTAATGTGCTTGTATATATACATGTATGAATGTAAGTAAGTAATGCAACTTAATGCACTGTAATGTATGCATGCATGCATGCATTTATGTACGTATGTACTTATGTATGTATTCATGTATGTAATGTATGCAATGCATGTGTGTATCTATATACGTATGTATGTACGTAATGTATGAATGTAATGTATGTATGCCAGGCATGTAAGTAATGTATTTATGTATGTAAGGATGTATGTATAAAATGTATGTATGTAATGTAATGTAATTACATGTAATGTAATGTATTGTAGTGTAATATGTACTTATGTATGTAGTGTACTTATGCATGCCTGTACGAATGTCAGGTATGTATGTATGTATGAATTAAATGTAATGTCATGTAGTGTAACGTAATGTGACGTGATGTGATGTGATGTAATGTTGTGCATGTATGTATGTATGTATGTATGTATGTATGTATGTATGTATGTATGGAAGTGTGTAATGTATGTATGTATGTAATGTATGTATGTATCTATGTATGTATGTATGTAATGTATGTATGTAATGTATGTAATGTATGTATGTAATGTATGTATGTAATGTATGTATGTATGTATGTAGTGTAATGTAATGCAGTGCAGTGCAGTGCAATGCAATGTATGTATGTATGTATGTATGTATGTATGTATGTATGCATGTATGTATGTATGTATGTATGTAATGTATGTATGTGTGTTTATGTATGTATGTATGTACGTATGCGTGCATGTATGTATGTATGTATGTATGTATGTATGTATGTATGTAATGCATACATGTATGTATGTATGTCTGTATGTATGTATGTAGGTATATATGTATGTATGTAATGTATGTATCTATGTATGTTTTCATGTATGTATGTATGTTGTATGTAATGCATCTATGCAGGTCATGTAATGAAAATTTCTATGTGATGTGATGTGATGTGATGTGATGTGATGTATGTATGTATGTATGTATCTATGTATGTATGTATGTACGTACGTACGTATGTATGTATATATGCATGTATGTATGTATGTAATGTATGTAGGGAGTATAATGTAATGTATTGTACTGCCATGTATCGTAATGGCATGTAATGTAATGTATGTATGTATGTACCTATGTAATGTATGAAGGCAATGTATTTAGGTAATGTAAGGTGATGTGACTTGATGTAATGTAATGTAATGCAATGAAATTAATATATGTTTGTATGTATCCATGTATGTGAATGTGTATGTACGCATGTAATGTATGTGTAATGGAATATATATATAATGTATTCATGTAATGTATGCATGTATGTAATGTAATGCAATGTAATGTAATGAAATGTGGTGTAGTGTAGTGTAATGTGATGTAATGTAATGTAATGTAATGTAATGTAATGTAATGAATGAAATGTATGAAACATATGCAGTGTATGCAATATGCATGTAAAGTATGATATTGCATGGTATGGCATGTAATGTACGTTGAAATATATTTTGTATGTACCGTGCGTGTGTATGTGTGTACTTATGTATTTCTGTGTGTAATGTTTGTATGTCTGTCTGTATGTGTGTATCTATGTATCTATGTATCTATGTATGTATCATTGTAACATAATGTCAGGTAATGCAGTGTAACGTAATGTGTGTATGTATACATGTACTTTCTTTTTTTTTGTGTGTATGTATGTATGTATGTCTGTGTGTGTATGTTTTTAATGTATGTACGGACGGACGTAGGTAAGTAGGTATGTAGGTATACAAATAAGTATGTAGGTATGTAGGTATGAAGGTATGTAGGTATGTGGGTTTGTAGGTATGTAGGTATGTAGGTACGCAGGTATGTAGGTATGTAGGTATGTAGATAGGTATGTAGGTATGTAGGTATGTAAGTGTGTAGGTATGTAGGTATGAAGGTATGTAGGTATGTAGGTATGTAGGTATGTAATGTATGTATGTATGTATTGTATTGTATTGTATTGTATTGCGTTGTATTGTATTGTATTGTATTGTACTGTAGGTAGGTATGTATGTATGTAATGTATGTATGTATGTAATGTAATGTAATGTGATGCAATGTAATGTAATGTAATGTAATGTAATGTAATGCAATGTAATGTAATGTAATGTAACGTAATGTATGTATGTATGTAAGGTAAGGTAAGGTAAGGTAAGGTAAGGTAAGGTAATGTGTAACGTATGTATGTTTGTATGTAATGTTGTATGTAGTGTAATGTAATGTAATGTAATGTAATGTATGTATGTATGTATGTAATGTAATGTCAAGCAGGTATGTATGTATGTATGTATGAATGTAATGTAATGCAATGCAATGTAATGTAATGTAACGTAATGAATGTATTGTAATCTATGTATGTAGGTATGTAATGTATGTATGTATGTATGCATGCATGTATGTATGTAGTGTATGTATGTATGTAATGTATGTATGTATGTATGTATGTATGTATGTATGTATGTATGTATGTATGTATGTATGTAGGTATGTTTGTATGTATGTATGTAGTATGTATGTATGTATGTATGTATGTATGTATGTATGTATGTATGTATGTATGTATGTATGTATGTATGTATGTATGTATGTATGTATGTATGTATGTATGTATGTATGTATGTATGTATGTATGTATGTATGTATGTATGTATGTATGTATGTATGTATGTATGTATGTATGTAATGTAATGTATGTATGTATGTATGTATGTATGTATGTATGTATGTATGTATGTATGTATGTATATGTATGTATGTATGTATGTATGTATGTATGTATGTATGTATGTATGTATGTATGTATGTATGTATGTATGTATGTATGTATGTATGTATGTATGTATGTATGTATGTATGTATGTATGTATGTATGTATGTATGTATGTATGTATGTATGTATGTATGTATGTATGTATGTATGTATGTATGTATGTATGTATGTATGTATGTATGTATGTATGTGTATGTATGTATGTAATGTAATGTATGTATGTGTGTATGTATGTATGTATGTATGTATGTGTATGTGTATGTATGTAATGTAATGTAATGTAATGTAATGTAATGTGTAATGTATGTATGTAATGTATGTAATGTAATGTATGTATGTATGTATGTATGTATGTATGTATGTATGTATGTATGTATGTATGTATGTATGTATGTATGTATGTATGTAATGTATGTATGCATGCATGTATGTATGTATGTATGTATGTATACATGTATGTATGTATGTAATGTATGTATGTATGTAATGTAATGTAATGTACTGTAATTTACTGTAATGTAATGTAATGTAATGTAATGTAATGTATGTATGTATGTACGTACGTATGTATGTATGTATGTAATGTATGTATGTATGTATGTATGTATGTATGTAATGTAATGTAATGTAATGTAATGTAATGTAATGTTAGGTTATGTATGTATGTTATGTTATGTATGTATGTTATGTATGTATGTATGTATGTATGTATGTATGTATGTATGTATGTATGTATGTATGTATGTATGTATGTATTAATGTATGTAATGTATGTAATGTATGTACTGTATGTATGTATGTATGTAATGTATGTATGTATGAACGTAACGTATCGTCACGTAACGTGATGTAATGTCATGTAATGCAATGCAATGCAATGCAATGTAATGTAATGTATGTATGTATGTATGTATGGATGTATGTATGTATGTAATGTATGTAATGTAATGTAATGTAATGTATGTATGTATGTATGTAATGTAATGTAATGTAATGTAATGTAATGTAATGTAAAGTAATGTAGTGTAGTGTAGTGTAGTGTAATGTAATGTAATGTATGTATGTATGTATGTATGTATGTATGTGTGTGTGTATGTGTATGTGTGTATGTATGTATGTATGTGTGTAGTGTAATGTCATGTAACGTAATATAATGTAACGAAATGTAATGTAATGTAATGTAACGTAATGTGACACATTGCAGCGCAACGCAATGTACTTGTGAAAGGCACAGACCCCGGACAAGGACCAGCCCGAACCATGTCTCACACGTATCCCAGACAGCTAGTTCCTGCAAACAGCGAGCGGAGGTAGTGCCTCCGCTATCCAGTGAACAGTGTTGCTCGCTTGCAACTCTGCTCATTCAGACTTGAGCCAAAACAGACCAGGCGTCATGAGCAATAGAGCATTCACTTAGCCTTCATGTGACTGCTCTAAACAAATTACAGAGCTATTCAAGGACTGCGTGCCGCGCGCGGACATGCCTGCCACAAACACCGCGCTTGGCCAAGCAATGTCTCACGCAACGTGAGCCCCAGACCCTGGTGGTGGCAGATATGGCTTGCGCAGCACATGCAGCATTTTCCACTGCCAGGGCATCGCAAACATTGGACTGTGCCTGCGCGAGTAAGGTGTCGTTCCCACGGACACCCAGAACGCATACGTTACTGCGATGAGCAGCAAGCGTGGAACGCAGCGTATTTACAACATCAAGGCGGGATTTGTGACATTGCAGTGAAGTATTCTTTGTTTTCGACGTTTGTCATGCCAGGCTTTCTGTGGTCAGTTTAATGCTGGCAAAAGCTGCTTAGTGCTGAGTGTCATATTCCCCTAGAGTTGAGAGCCATAGGGGTTCCAACTGAGCAGCTAGTAATTCCAGCAGCACTTTGCGAGTCGTGTGTGCACTCTTTAGGTGATTCTGACTCTAACACATGGAGGGGTGAACAAACTGAACAAACAGCGGCGGATTTTTGCATCTCCAGCCGCCATTTCGTCTGCACTACTCATACTTGTCTTCACTAGTAAAGCTTGTTTTTCTTGGCTCTTCCTCGCCTGCACAGATCTCTATCAGTTAAGCGCTTTGGGCAAAGGCCAACTACAATGCAGAGCGGGCGCTCTCACAAGTCGCCGAAGACGAGACGGAGGGCGACCTACCAAACAGGGTTGACCAGGGCAATTTTCGTGGCTATTGAATCTTGAGTTGTTGTCTGGTAATTGAAACCCTTCTGAATTCAGTTTGGGGTTTATGCAGCGAAAGGGGTGCAAACTTCAAGCAAGCAAGTAAAGAAGGGGCGGGTGTCACTTTTGGCCAGGCGCTGTTAGACAATGCTTGCTGCTGCCACTCAGATTGCGCAGTTGTTGCGCAGTGCTGACGCTGCTGCGGGCGCAGAGTGAGTGTAAAATTGCGCAGGGTGCTGTTGGAGCAAAGTTCGGTGGAGCTAGGTGCAGGGTGTGCAGGCGGTGGGTGCTGTTGCAGGGTGCTCCTGCAGGCCGAGGTTTTTGGTTCAGGTGCCGCCTTGCAGACGGCGTGAAAGGCGAGGAGCCCTTGCAGCGTGCGCGTCGCAAGGCACAGTGTCGCGTGCGACTTCGCTGCTGTTTTTCGCGAGATTTGCAAAGCAGCTGAAGCGACTCAACGATAGTTGCGTGGCCTGCGAGATGCCCACAACAGCGCATCAATCGCGCAAAAGAAAGCCAAGCGAGGTGCTGCTGCAGGTTGCCTTTGCAGGGCCCTGTCACTGGCCACGACTCAAGATTGCGCAGCGCACCTTTGTGAGACACCGTTGCGAGGTGACGCCGCCTGTGCAAGTTCTGTCACAGAAATGATGCGGCTGGGCGCTGTCACAGCGCAGGTAAGTGTTGAACAGGTTGCTGCGTGAAGTGTTAAGTGACCCCCACAATGCCTGAAAGACCGTGGGACTGGTTGCGGCGCAGGCAAGTCACGGCGGTGCAATTGCGGCGGGCGATTGACCAGAGTGCGCAGCACTCTGTCACAGGTCGCCGCTGTGCAGTGCAAGGCCAAAACTTACGCGCGACGATGCTTTGATCAGTGGAAATTTTGCACGCGAAGCACAACTCAGCAACGGCGCCTTGCAACAGCACACCGCAGCAGCAATCCGCATTGCTGCTTTGTTGCCGGAAAATGCTGGTTGCGTATTTGTGCAGTAGGATTGCCTCATGCTTGTTCGTCCTTGTTTGTTCCGCGCAAGATTTTGTGTTTTGTTTTTCAGGGACAGGATTTAAAAAGTCTTGTTGTATGATTTGGCGGTAGATGCTTGATGCTCACTCGCCATCGCGTGTTCTACGTAGGTTGTAGGGTCCTGTTTTTCCACTGACAGGCTCTTGGCTCGCCCTTGCTTGTTTTGCGTAAAATAAACGTTGTGGTTCTTCATGGGCAGGACTTTGGCATGCTGCGTAGCTGCTGCCTTGTTGCCAGAAAAACAGGTTGTGTATTTCGGTTGCGATATGGCCTGTTGCTCATTCCACTCTGCTGTTCCGCAAAACAACAAGTGTTATGATGTTTGACTGACAGGCTCTGAGTAGTTGCTGCTTTGTTTCCAGAAAATTACCTGATGCTCATTCGTCCCTGCTTGTTTTGCGCAAAATAATAGTTTTGTGTTTTTCCAGGGGCAGGCTCTTGATATGCTGTGTAGCTGTTGTTTTTTCCTGCAGCAGATCCCCCCCGGCCCCCCCCTTGTTCGGGATGCCCCCGCGCACTATTTTGCTGGCCAGAAAAACTGTTGTATATTTTGGCGGTAGAAATTGCCTTCCCGGCTTGTTCTGCTTCAGAGACACGTTGGATGTTGCTCCGAAAGTAACTGTTGTACATATTTGCGGCGCAATTTCCTGAGGACTCGGCTCATGCTGCTGGAAACAGGCGTGCAAAAAACATATTGTTCACTAGAAGTGCAGCCTATCGTTGCAGATGGAGGGGTACGCTGTGTCACTGGAAAGGATGGTTAAACAGTTTGGCGTTGGGAAAATGAGGGGCAGTTGGCTTCGATCAGTGTCATTGATTGGACATGGCACTCCGTTTGGGGCTGTCAAGGGCAACCACAGCCAACGCCCGTCTAATTGCTCCCTCACTTCATTTGCTGACAACACACTCTTGCTGTCTGGGGTCTATGCTAGCATTATTTTATATAACAATACTTTGTTGTCCGTGCTTGCTTCCAGGGTAGCAAACTTGCTGCAGAGCATTCCGCGGCACGTTTGGTGTCAGGGTGTCGCAGACCAGCGGAAGCCCTTGAGCTTGTTGTGTGTGGGCCCTGGTTTGATCAGTTGCAATGTAGCACATGGTTAACAGGTTTCAAGATCTTGCCATTGCATCAGGTTCGGACCTTTCAATGGCCTCGCGCTACTGTGACATGACGGCCATTCCGCGGCGCTGGTGGGGGACCGAGTATTTGCAAACGAGGTGTCCCGTTCATGCCCCGAGGTTTCAAGCTCTGAAGACATGTCTTCCAGGAGGGTGTGCAACTTTGCACATGCCATGGCCTATCGTGCAATGTTGCCTTCCAGCTTCGCAGCTGCCAGTCCCATAAAGTGCCACCGGGTGCCACAGGGTGCCACTGGGTGAGGGCAAGAGCAAGCCATGCAGGATGCCAACATTCCATGGTCGCCTGGTACTGTGGCGCAATTCGTAAATGAATTGGGCAATGTGCTGGACCCTGCATCCTTGAGCAGTGTTCCGTAGCACGTCTCAGAAAGTATTCTGCTGCTCCTGGTGTTTCATTCATTTCTGCCGGCAGCTGCGACAATGTGTAAGAATTGTCAAGTGCTGCGAGATGCAGCGCAGAAGTGTGTTTTGCTGCTGCTGCTGCGGCCGCTGCTATTGATTGCTTTGCGACAGCGTTCCTTATTTGCTACTTTGTAGACTGAAGTCTCAAGGCACGCAAGAACGGTTGTGTTCCTTGATTTTCACAGGACACTGTCTCAAAAACCGCGTTGTCCCGTTGCATACAGGGCTAGTGCGGGCCTTGAACTAAGATGAAGCTGACGGTTGTGAGTGGAGGGGAACCACCTACTTGGCCCTTGGGTTGATACCCTGTATGCTTGCTACTCTGCAATGGCAAGCAAGGCAATCAAGCAAGTCAGGAGGCCCAGGGTGTGGCTGCGGCTTAGTACCATTGCTTGGTAGTTTGAACCCTGGAAGAGGCGATGTCCCACTTAGCGCAGCAGCTTTTGCTCACTCAGTCACTCACTGGCTCGCTCATTCAGTCATCAGCTTCTTTGCGTCTCTTTCCTCGTTTTACTTTTCTTTAGCCTGGTCGGAGTTGCGTGTTTTTGATGACTCGGCTGCAACACTGCAGTGCAGTCGAGGTACCTGGAACAAGCCCTATGCAACGCGAGACTACGGTATGACAATGTGCCATTACAAAGCGTCAAATCAAATTGGCCAAAAGTGCGCCTGCGTCAAATTGGCCAAAAGTGCGCGCGTGCAAGCGCCTTTGCGCACGTAAACACAAGGAAGGCGCAACACCATTTTTGGGCCAGCTTGGCCGTGGAACCCAAGTTGGGCAATCACTTTTTGTCACCACCAGTGGCATGGTTACTGGACTCCAGTCGGCTTTTGTTCCACAATTTGATGCAAGTGACGTGAGCTGCTGGCAGGACCCTACACCTTCATTCTGAGGGCATCGGCAGAAGTGCAATGCACTCAAGTGATGTGGCCTGTGCGGTTCGGTTCGTACCGTGTATTGGTCTGTAGCATGTCTCCAGAAGCGATTTGAATCGCCTCGCCGACACCTCGCTCCGTGTAAGAGCATCAGGCCAAGAGTCGTCCTCGAGCACAAAGCCCACTCTAAGATTTGGAAGAGACGAGAAGTTGGAATCAGAGTTCCGGATCACCCAGTTGCATGCAACTCAGAACGACGTACTCTTTTTCGGCAGCTTTTATGAAATGGGGATGTAATGGTGTTGGAAGACCTAAGGTCAAGCATTTGGTTCAAGATTTGGATGCGCCCTTGCTTTCTTCGTCAGCTCCAGCAGATGCTTGGGTCCCATTCTCAGTTGTGCATCTTGCATTTGTCACGGATCGCGCGTTGCCCTTCAGGACATCTGGGAACAACACAAATCGAAGCTCGACTTTGTTGTTGCAGAAGCCTGAGTGCAGCGCATGGCGTTTTTGGACCTGGCACTTTAAGCTCTTTCTTGATTTGGAGCTGCGTGTTTGGTGTGCAATGCCATCAGAGAACAATCAGTTTTCTAGCAATACCATTGGATATGCGCCGAAGGCGGAGACCGCATACCACAGCACACTTGCTTTGACTGCTCACAAGACCTTAGCTGAAGGATTAAGACTCATCCTGACATTTGGGTTTTCATGCTGCACGTACCTGTACCATGTAAATGTATGCTAGCCGCAGACGGACCAAGGTTCTGAGCAAAACTGCTGAACCCAATGTACGCAGCACTTTGTTCAATTGAACCCCAGGTGTCAACCAACGATCAGCCATGATCCGTGACAGCCATGATGGCATGACAGCAACAACAAGCTGTTGTCAATGCAAGTGATTCGGTCGAGCTTGAAGGCTGCACCAGCAGAAGACTGGCAAGAGATACAAGAGGGTGCTTCTACAGTCGGTGCCTTTGATCTATCTCGAGTTAGCATCGAAGCTTTTCAACAGGTTCAAGTCGCCAAGGCCTTCCGGCCTCTGAAACCTGTGAATGATGCCAATACCTTCATTGGGAGATGCATGTTTGCAGAACATTGGGGGATTTGCGCCTGCTTAGGTGCTGGACTTGACAATGGAAGAGCCAGTGCTGCGACGTCAGGCCAAGCAAAGTATTCCAGAAGTGTTAGACTTGCCTGTGCTGAGGGTCTTGGAGATGTTTCTGCCTTTGAGGGTGTCATCGAGGCAAGTGTTGCTTCGTGAGCGCAAGGATACGCATCGTTTGTTGTATGCAATACTGGCAAAAAGCTAGTAGCAGCCAAGCACACCTGACTGTTCGGCATCATCGAACGTGTGTGGCAAAGCAATCCCGCTCTTTTTCAAAGCCAGAGAGGTCTGCGAAGTCACAGCAGTGTCAATGCAAATGACAAATGTGAGACATTGTGGTCGTGGCTTTGAACAGCGGCGGAGACCACACGTGTTGGCACAGGGTCAGACACAAAAGGGCCACGGACTTGCGCTGCCAGTTTACATGTGAGCATTAGGGCAATGCAGCAGAGCCGGCATGCACCTTCCGCCGCATACTTTTGGCTGCTGGCATCTTCTACCCTTGGCGGTTGCAGGATAGTGTGTCAACAGTACAAGCATCAACCAACGCCTGCTGAATGCCGTGAGCAGGACGCCTTACGCTGCGGCAGGTGACTTGGCATGAACATGTGCTTCGGATGTTGAGCATGTACTTCACATAATTTTGTCTGAGAATGTGGCATGTCTGGAAATACTTTGGCTTTTCACATGTTGCACTGTATTTGGTTCCAGTTTATCTTGATGCACTATTGACTTGCAAGGCAGATCTGCTCATGTACACCACATGCGTACAACAACAAACTAGTTGTCCTGCTTGCAATTTTTGCATATGAGTGCGAAATTCACAGTTGAGCAGCTAAAGAGCAGCTAAAGAGATTTAGGTGCTGCATGCATCGGTCAGAAGAGAGTGCCTAACAAGCGCATGAATGCTTGTCCTGTTTGTGCTCGAGGGCCCCGGACCTGATGGCGTCCAAGAAGTGTTGCCAGGCACAGTCAAGTCTTGCTGTTTGATGCTATGACCATCCTTGCATCGGCACATAGAACATTTCAGTTTGCCATTTTCTCTCAAGGGAGATTGCTATTTGCCCATCAGAGTCACAGCTTTCTCAGGCCTTCCTGGTATTGGTGGCCATTCTCGGTTTGTGGCATGGTTGGAGCGAGGCCGGAGATTTGCGTGATGCCGAAGCATTTCGCCCCTTCGCCCAGGAGGCCTTTGTGAGCTCCAGGCGCCCAGCAGGCGGATTCGCTGCAGTTGATGTTTGCGACACGAATGCGGCCTTACACAATGTGATCTGCTATGACATGGTGTTAGAGCGATCATGTCAACCTCCATGTCACACCATTGTGCATATTTTGAATATATATATATATACACATCGCACACACACACACACCCACACACACTAGGACTCCCCCATTCCTGCTTAACAGATTGCATGTTGCAGTTTTTTTGGTGTAGAAAGTCTTTTTTGGAGGGAAAACCTGGAGTTGTGTTGGGTCCTGCTAACGAATTAGAACGTGTCTTTGATTGCTGGGATGATATATGTACATTTTGCGAGGACACATTCAATCAGGATGCGGGACTCCAAAGATTACTAGATGAGTACAGATCACATAACTGACTGACTTACAAATCAGGGTTGGAGTTTGTAAATTGAGTGTCGGATGGTGTGTGTGTGTGGCAACTCTTGAGTGGGCCGGGGGGGGGGGGGGGGTTCTCGCTTTGTCTGTGTTTGATTCCAAAAATCCACTCATGAGCGAGCGATTCTGGCACATATGGCTCAAGCCTGGTTAAGATAGCTAGTCACAGGAGCAGGTTTTCTGAAAGCAGGAAGTGATGAGGAGACTTACCTGTGGTGCCTTGATATATCGAGAACTTCTCGACAACAACAGGCTCACCGACCCAGACAATGGTAAGGTTCACAGAATGATTTCCCTTTCAGATTCCTTTAATCATCGCCGGCACACTGGTGAGTTTGTGACTTTCAATGAAAGGGCAGCTTGAATGCATTCAGGCCATCAATGACGGCAACATTCCTCAATTGCCCAATCCAGTCTTCCTTGATGCGACAGTTCAAGCAAACTTTGATCATGTTGCCCAGGAAGAAGAACATGCTTCTAATTGTCCGACAACTTAGAGACATTGTCCGCGTTCGCTTGGCCAACTTCGGCTTGGATGACAGGGTCAGGCGCAGTCGCAGATGGCGAGGCCTTAGCGAGCGACCCACAGAGCAAACTGCGCAAAACAAAGCAGCGCCAACCCAAGAACAACTGGGCAATGGCGCGAGAGCTGCGAATCAGCCACGAAGTGTGGTCGCTAAGTTGCGCGTTTTTTTTGCAGCAACTGAAGCTGCGTGGCGTCAGCGCTCTTTGACTTTACCGACCATGTCATCGGAGTCACTTCTACGATCTTTTCTCAAGGGTGCCCATTTCGATGTCTGCATCTCAGGCCAGAAATGAAAGCGTGACTCGCTTGTGTGGAGCAGAACCGCTTTCTCTATTAAATGTTGCCAATGCTAACGCGACTCAAGAATCTGCAGGAACGCGAATGGAAATGGCACGCCGTCATGAGCCTGCGCTTGACAGGGGGTGAGCCCCCAGTGTGGCTGTGATCTTGCTGTCATCTTGTTGGGGCCGGGTCTCCTGTTTTTGGTTGCTAAAACGTGTATATGATGGGAAGACACAGGCGCGCATGAACTGTAGGATGTGATGCTTCAAGCCTGCGTCAGGGCTCTCTGTGTGCGATGCACTTTGCAGCGTGCGCCGGGCTCTCCACTGCCGTCAGGCAGTGTCATCGTCGCCGAGGAGCTGCCCAGAGGCCTGCTCAGATTTACGTGTCAAGCATTTCGAAAGTTGGAGGTCTGACATGCCGGCGCGGTATTGCTCAAATACATCCAGACCGTTATCGCCGAGACTCACCAGAATATGAATCTTGGCAGCTAAGTAGGTTGCTCAATGCAACTGAGCGGCGTATGTTTCTTGAATCAGGTAATGCCCAAGCGGAAGCAAAGGCAAGTCACGAAACACACTTCAGGTTCTTTTTGTGCAACGCATGGTGGCCCAGTGGAAAGATTGTTGGCACGTGCATTAGCATCGCGGATACCACGCAAAAAATACAAATAAAACAGGTCGTCTGGGTTTGGGCTACTTGTTGCTGGATTGATGTCTTGATTTGTTGACCTGAGGAGACTTGCTTGGTGTAACAAGAATTCGCGTGCAGTGTCCAGTTGTGTTTTTTGTTCTTTTTGTCTGGCCCTATGCGCGGGTTGTGTTTTGGCTGCTTGTGTCTCATTCCTTTCCTGTTGTCTGGTTTTTGAGAGCCAGCGTGTCATCAAGTGTAGAGGTTCGTGGCCTTTGCAATCAGGCTTTCGGAACATGCTCGAGTTGGGCTGGATAAAGTAGGCCCAACCAGTCCTGCTTTGTATGGGTATAGAGTTGGTCCTTTGGTCTCACCCAGTACGATTTGGATTTTTTGTTAGTATTAACCCGTCGGGTCGACTTAGCTTAGTATTCTTTCTGCTGTTCCGTTGACGGCCCAGAGGTTTTGTTTTCATTTGTTTCCCACCCTTAAACGTTTCACGTTAGTCCCGTTTTTTGGGAAAGTTTGTTTGGGGGCCATGTTCAAATGTCACAAGGAACTTGGCAGTTTGGGGCTTATCAGTCGGTTTTGCTGGCCCGGAGTTGGCTTAGAATTGGTTTACTATTTGGTTGAGTATTAAGTTAGTGTTGCTTAGCACTAGTTTCGAGCCTCCTTAGAAGTTGCTCTAGTATCGACAATACTCACTGGGAATCATGTCCTTTCCCGCTTTGAGAAGGGTTCCCCGCTCTGTATTGCCTATCACCATTGGTTATGGCGCGCTGAGTGTACCTTTGGACTGATTCTTTGACTAGTTACATTGCGGCCGGGATCAGCGACTGTGCGCCGAGTACGCTCTGAACGTGCCGATTGACCATTACGCTCCAAGGACACACCAATTGCACCAACTACGAGTACGCGCAGAGCGCGCTGCGCAACGAGCGCGCACCAAGTGCACCTACACGCCGAGTGCTCCGAGTACGCGCCGAGTACGCGCCGAGTACGCGCCTAGTGCGCCGAGCCCGAACAAGGTGCGCCAAGTACACACCGAGTGCGCCAAGAAGGAGTACGCGCAGAGTGCGCTTTGCGCCGAGTACGCGCGCAGTGCACCGAGAAAGCGCCGAGCACCGAGTATGAACCAAGTGCGCCAAGTACACCCGCTTGAGAGTGCACTTTGCCCCGAGCATGCATCGAGTGCACCGCGTACGCGCCGAGCGCGCCGAGAAGGCGCCGAGTATGCACGGAGTGCGCCGAGTAATGTTAACTTGGGTTTAATAAATGGCCCGAATAAGCAAAGTTCTGGGCCAGCCAGACCAGCTTTTCACCAATACTAAGCCAATTCAAATGTTGATTGCGCAAATACCAGATCGGCGCCCCAAGCCGCCCCCCAAAAACTCACATTTGTAATGTTCGCCGGAATCCTAAAACCAGTGATCGAACAAAACAGGGTTCAAACAAATCAGGCAGCAAAGCCTGAAACTGTCTGTCTGTCTGTCTGTCTGTTTGTCTGTCTGTCTGTCTGTCTGTCTGTCTGTCTGTCTGTCTGTCTGTCTGTTCTGTCTGTCTGTCTGTCTGTCTGTCTGTCTGTCTGTCTGTCTGTCTGTCTGTCTGTCTGTCTGTCTGTCTGTCTGTCTGTCTGTCTGTCTGTCTGTCTGTCTGTCTGTCTGTCTGTCTGTCTGTCTGTCTGTCTGTCTGTCTGTCTGTCTGTCTCTGCACGTATGTACGTGTGTATGAATGTACGTATGGATGTCTGTATACATTCGCAGGGCCTACCCTTGGGGTTGCAACTAAGCCAAGCATATCCGTTTACAGAAGCTACCTTATCTTGCTGGTACTGAGGCTGAGGAGAGAGGATGATAGTAGGTTCTCAAGATGTCGTTGCGCTGATCTTTGGGATGCCTGTTCTATTTTGCATCTTGATTATCATGCCCAGGAACTACTTTTACAGGTTATGACAACTACACATAAAGTACTAGGAAAATCTATTTATGATGGAAACAATATAAGTATGATAGAGCACAGTTCTGTGCCACTTCTGGAGCCGCTTGAAAATTGTTGCAAAGTAATGCCCTGCTACCACGTACGGTTTTCCGTCTGTAGA